AATTGAAAAAACTCCCAGTTATAAATTAAGTTTCCCTGCTGCCATATGTGGACCCAGCTGTGCTTTCTTTTGAAATTAAGTTGATAATGGTTCCAAATCATTGGTGCAGTTTGTGTTTTCCCACTGTGATGCTACAAGTACCTGAATTTAAACAAGAAATTTGAGATGCATAATGATAGCACAATCATGGCAAAGAAACAGAACTTAAGTCATTTCAACTTCTTTATTCTATGTTACCACTTGGAGTTTTTTAAACATTTAAAACAGTGAGACAAAGGGAAAGCTGCAATGTCTACTATTTTTTGTTTGTCCATAGGTGAACTCATTTTTACTGAATTTGGATGCTACTTTTAAAATTAAAAATCATTTAAAAAAATGGTCTGCTTTAAAACTGTAGACTAATCAAGAAGTAAAAGCATTCTAGCAATGATGCGATTTAGTAGTTGCCTAAATTGTACCTTATGTTGATATTTCAGTTTTATTAAAATTGTTATTAATTGCTGGGAATTATTTGAGATAAAATATTATATCAGACTGTAACGAAGGGATTGATGGTCAAATTGTTAGTTAGACATAAAAACTTTTGAGTAAATAATTGTTCACTCTTTTTTTGAATACCTATTGTTTATTTTAAATTTGTTTCCTGGTATATATATCTGGTATTATATATAATCTGGTATTATATATCTGAAGTTCAGTAAAAAAATTCTTACCATCTGTTCTTTTTGTTTCATTTCATGATATTACTGAAAATAATTTGGTCATATTGAGAATGGGTACTAAAAATTGATCTGCCCCAGTTGTCAGCATATAGGTACATCACTGCCATGGTACACAGGGACTGTCAAGGTAGGGAAGGTAAAACTTTTCCTCTACTAAGTTCTGAAGCTGGGGCTTGCAAATTAAATTGACAGAAGATAGATTACAGGAGAAAAGGTTTATTTCACACACAGGCAGGGGCTTCACATGAAAGAATTGAAAATACAAAAAAGAAGTGGTTAGGCCTAAGAGCTTATTTACCATTTTAACAAAAGGCAATAAATCGTGGAGAAGTTTATAACTGGACAAAGGAAGTTGTACCCAGCTCATCTTAATCATTATTAAGTGTTCAGTTTAGTAATTTAATTTTCACATTGTGGTGAATCAGATCTCCAGAACTTTTTTTACTATGCAAATATGAAACTTTATACACATTAGACAAATATTTCCCTGAATTTTTAAAAGAAGATTTCAACTCATGGGCTATACGAAGGAAGGATCCAAGGCTAGCCAGCCATCCTGATGAGGGGCAGTGTGAGGGTTGAGGAAGCCAACCTCATGGTGGCAATGTAAGTAGAAAGGACAGTACAAGCAGGTCTTGACAGGACAGCCTGATTTTCCTGGAGTGGCATTCCTAGAAGAAGGAGGCTAGAAAGGAGCCCAGGCCATTATGTTTACCCTAGGCTTTGAAGATGCTTGGTATGTTTGGAATGAAACTGTCCATGGAATGAGATATTAGCAGCTTGTTTAGACTGTATTGCTCTACAGTCAGTGTCATGCCAAAGCACCTTCCCCTCACTCATTCAAGGTAACTTTTAAAATTTTCTTTTTTCTTTCTTTTTATTTTCCGAGACATAATCTCCCCGTTTCCCAGGCTAGAGTGCAGTGGCATCATTATAGCTCAATGCAACTTCAAACTCTTGGGCTCAAGTAATTCTCCTGCCTGTCTCCTGAGTAGCTGGGACTAGAGGTTTTCATCACCACACCCAGCTAATTTTTTGTAAAGATGAGAGTCTTGCTATGTTGCTTAGCCTGGTTTCAATCTCCTGGCTTCAAGTGATTCTCCTGCCTTGGCCTCCCAAAGTGCTAGGATTACAGATGTGAGCCACTGTGCCTGGCTTTAACATAATAACTGTTGAATTTTAAAAGTCGCATGCTTATTATAGAATATTTAGAAAATATAAAAAAGCATAAAATGACAATTAAAGTCATCCTTAACCCTCCCATTGAGTGAAACCAGTCTTGACATTTTGGCTTTTTTCTGTATTTTCAAAATATCTATGTGAGATTAGGCCATACATAGAGTTTTATAACCTATCTATTTTACTTAACACCATGAGCATTTTTCCATGTCATTACATATTATTCAAAAACATGCTTTTAATGACTGTATAATATCATACTCTACAGAGTTCTTTAAGGCATCTTAAAAAGTGACAACTTTATTGCCACCCTAGAACACAGAAGTGTCAGTGCTGTCGAACCTGCATTCCAAGCAATTACTGGTGATGTTATACTGAAATAAAGTACTATCAAGTTGGATCTTAAAGGATAAGTACATTTTAAGAAATATTAAAGTGAAATGCAGAACTCTAGCACAGGCTGTAATTTAGGCAAAATAGAAACAAAATCTGGTATTATCTGTCAACAAACAATTTAGCAAGATTTTCCATAAAATTAAATAATGATGTGATGTGTTATCCACTGCACTTGTAGCAGCATAATTATAATAATGAGACATATTTAATATAACGAGACTCTATATTTTAAAAATGTCATGCCAAGCTTGCTACTTGGCATTGCGCTGCTATTAAGTTATTTAATACTTTCCATTTAAGTTTTATGAAATCCAGGAAGCAAAATGAGGAGAAATTTTTGTTGAATTATAAAGCTTATTGAAATGGAAAAATGAAAGCTTCTCTTGCATACTCTGGAGTCAGATAGCAACAGAGTTGCAAGTTTATAGCTTCAGCTAGAGTCCACAAGCCCTCTCTGATGAATACAAATTTATGGCCCTTTAAAGCATAATAAAAAGCATACTTGGTATTTTATTTCCTTTGCTGTCATTCCAGCTATCAAAAAGTTGCAATAAATGTCACCTTTGGAAATTTACCTGGGAAAAAACCTGCAAAATTATTATGGCACCAGTACACATAAGGGTGATAAATGCAAAGAGCAGGGCACTCCTGGCCAAAACAGAAATTGGAAATGGCACTGAAGAAATTACTGGCTGGGAGGAAAAGCAGAGTCAGACTGATTAAGTACCGCTGCTCTTTGAGATAATGGGCACGGTTCTGAGAAAGTCACTGACCACACGTTTTCCAGTAGGTCTTTCTTCTCTGCAACAAGCTCTTCAATTTTCAGTTTTGTGATGATTCTCTTGTTTCAGAGGGAGAGGGGAAACAGAATATACTGATTTCAAAATCTTGAGTTTTAGAAGGATATGGGTTTTAATCCCATTTGCTACGGCACTGACTGACTGAATGACCTTAATCGTGTTTCTGAAATTCTTCAAGCATGAATTTTTTATCCAAAGAATGGGGAGAATGATATTACCTACACCATAGGGTCATTGTGAGGTATTTCGTTAAGATGGTATATGTAAAGCACATAAAAAATAAGGTCTTGGTAAATGTTTATGTTACTAATAGTACTTGTCATGAACTGCCCAAGATACTTTCTGGTTAAACTTTCTATTGATAAAGTGCTGTAACTACCTATTCACCTTGTGACAGAGACCACCATTGCCACCTCATAATCCATTTCCTCTTTTCTTATCATCAGAACCACAATTTTATTTAGGATAGCAATGTACTCAGACAAAATACTACATTTCCTAGCTTCCACTGAATCTGAGAATGGACACTGAAATTTATTTTTATTTATTTATTTATTTATTTATTTATTTTTGAGACAGAGTCTCACTCTTTTGCCAGGCTAGAGTGCCATGGTGTCAGCCTAGCTTACAGCAACCTCAAACTCCTGGGCTCAAGCAAGCCTTCTGCCTCAGCCTCCCGAGTAGCTGGGACTACAGGCATGTGCCACCATGCCTGGCTAATTTTTTCTATATATATTTAGTTGTCCAATTAATTTCTTTCTATTTTTAGTGGAGACGGGGTCTCACTCTTGTTCAGGCTGGTCTTGAACTCCTGACCTCGAGCGATCCTCCCACCTCCGCCTCCCAGAGTGCTAGGATTACAGGTGTGAGCCACTGCACCCGGCCCGGCCGACACTGTGATTTAAATAGAAATCATTGGCTAGAACTTCAAGGAAAGCTGGTGTTGCTTTTGAGATATGGCTTGGAAGGTTGACAAGATGGCTGTAGCTTCAGCTGCTCTTTTGGAACTATAAGGAAAGGACAAGTTTATGGGAGAAGTTACAAAAAGTCTGAAATTCTTGAGGCACTAAAGTAATGGTAGCAAACTTCTACTTCCAAACTTCTGGTTTCTTGAGAGATGTAAGCCCTTATGTGTGTAGGTCACTATTACTTTGAGTTTCTTACTATATGTTGCCAGACCAAACTGTGACTCACATAAACCATAAAATGTTAAATTCCTTGAAAAACACTGACAACTTCATTATTCAAGTTATCATTACAATAAAGTCTCGATATATGTGGTAACCTGGGTAACTTTGTTTTTGAAACAAATAAAAGACTTAACTGACTGAAAACTCTACTTGACAGAGTTGATATAAGGACAGAATGAAAGAAAGCACTTAAGCTGACTTGCCTAATACTGTCCTTGGCATATAGTGATTACTAGGTTCATAATGGCTAACATTATAGGGTGACCACAAAGGGAAACAAGCTAGAGAAAATCTTATTTGTCCTTTGAGTAGAAAGAACCATGGAAAATCCTTTTTTTCCCCCCACACACAGACAGGACCTCATTTTGTTGCCTGGGCATGAGTGCAGTGGCATGATCATAGCTCACTGCAACTTCAAACCCTTGGGCTCAAGTAATTCTCCTGCCTCAGCCTCCTGAGTAGATGGGGCTACAGTCTTGCACCACCACACTCAGCTAATTTTTGTATTTTTTGTAGAGATGGGGTCTCACTATGTTGCTCAGGCTAGTTTCAAACTCCTGAACTCAAGCAATTCTCCCACCTAAGCCTACCAACATGCTAGAATTACAGGCATGAGCCACGACGCCTGGTGACAATCCTTTTTATAGCTCATAGCTGGCAATCTGTATTATTTTCCTAATGAATTCTCTTTGTCTGATGAATTCGTTGTTTAGGAGGATTTCAGCTGGAAAGTGATGGAGAAGGCAAGGCCTAAAGGAAAGTCAGTGGAGTTCATGAGACTGGAGTACAAAAGGAATGGCCTTTTATTTGAAGAGAACATCAGGTAAGAACTTGTAATCTCTGGATGTTGTGTTTTGGGGATTTGAGAAGAATCATATAATTTTAGCCTATACCCAAGTTCCGAGCTGATTATGTCATTGTTCAATGCTCGGTAGGATGTAGATTTAGGTAAGTACAGCTCTGCCTAGTGCTGAAAGCTTGGCTCACCATTTTCTGACTTCTACTCCTATTTGCTGGTGACGTAACCAGTGTAACACAACACAGAGTAGGAATGAATTCAGTGGCTCTGTGTGAAGTTATTGAATGGTAAAAACATCTTCAAGGACCTTCCCCCCAACCTGTGATGGTCAGTGTGATGAATGACTAATAATTGACTTTGAATCTTTCAGATGGACATCATTACCAGAATGGAATCTGAGTGAGGTAACCATTCACATGACAAGGAGGATTTTTTTATTGGCCTACTCTGTTTTGGTGTTACACTGTTTTTAGTTAAGCTGTGAAAGTGCAATAAAATGGAAGAAACAGCTCTCAGATAATGTGTATTTATCTCATCTGTGGTTGATTCTCATTGGACTTTGAAAATTGTAGGCAGTGTCCCGAGAGCGTTGGTATCACAGACATCTTACTGTGCAGCCACAGTGTCCTAGATGATTCATACAACACACAAAAGGTAAGATTACTGCTTTCCCAGAATTCTGTATGGCTTACCCAAACTGTGACCTCATTTAAGTAGAAGGAAGCATATTCTATGATGGCCATTCACAGATATGCCACACACATATATGGCATAGAATTGGTAACCACATTCTAAAATTATAAATCTTTCTGTGGCAATAAAAACCAAGCTAATTCAACTCTATGCTATATATAAGAGACACGAGAGACTTACCTAAATCAAAAAGATTGTGGATACATCCACACAAAGAAGAAATAAAGAATATCTCCATATAGAGTGATCACCAAGATATATTTTAGCAAAAAAAGATGAGTTCAGAACTGTGTTGTAGTAAGCTACCATTTGAGTAAGACAGGGTGTACGTGTGTTTACATATGTGAATATGTGTATATATATATATAGACATGCACACCCTCATCTGTATATACTTACATTAAAATGGTTATCTATAGATGGGCTGGGATACAGGGTGGAAAAGATAGGGATGAGAGCTATTCCTATCTTTTAATTACTTCTAAAATGTACCTTGATATATAATTTTGTCTTTGAAACCATATTTGTTTTACGTAATTAAAAACACAGAACTGAAATGAAGAAAGCAATCCTTCAAAATTAAAAGCAAACTGAAACTTATGAATCTAACTGTATATCAAGTTGGTAGCATATCCACACAGAAAAAAAAATTACTTGAAGTGACTTTAAAATATAATATTTTAGCTGGTTGTGTGGGTCATGCCTGTAATCCCAGCACTTTGGGAAGCCGAGACAGGAGGATAGTTTGAGGCCAGGAGTTCAAGATGAGCCTGGGCAACATACTGAGACCCTGTCTCTACAAAAAGTGAAAAAAATTGGCTGGGTGTAGTGGCACCTGCTTGTGTTCCCAGCTACTCAAGAGGCGTAGGCGAGAGAATCACTTGAACCTAGGAGTTTGAAGTTGCAGGGAGCTGTGATGATGCCATTGTTGCCCAGGCAACAGAGCAAGATTCTGTCTCACAAAAACAAAAAACAAAAACCAAAAGCCAGTATTTTGCCTGCTCATCCTTGTGTGATATAATTTAAAGACAAAGGGAAGTGTAAGGAAATTTTAAACTGCAATGAGTTATTTATTGTTAATAGAAATATTGGCATTGTTATTTGGAAACTATTATAGATATATTGAAAGTAAAGTGAAATTAAAACTCAGGTTAATAACATTCAGAATAAAGATATTTTGTACAAGAGAAAGAAATAATGTATAGAAATCAAGGAAGGTAAGTTAAAACATTGTAATCTTAAATTTGGTTTGGAAATACAAGAATGAACTCAAAATTATTTTTCTCTCTTAAAAATGTACATTCTAGCTCTGTTCTCCAAAATACCTAGAAGTAACAAAAAAATCAGTATCAATGAGCACCAGTAGTACACAGATTGTAGTCTCTGAATATCCATTTTCTTCAAGAAGTTTCCAGAGCTCTTTGGAAAAATGACAGGAATGTACAATATCTGTGTGAGGTTGGTACCTCTTGTGCTGGAAAACAAAGAAATTATGGATTTAGTCAAAAGGATAAAAGAGCCATCTTTAAGAGCCTCTCACTGGTCTGTGAAGAAGCATTTGGGGCAGAAATCATGATAAACAGTGACTGCAGCCCATCAAATATATTAAAAATCAATAAGTTCATAATGACACTTAAGGAAAAACTGATTGGTCACCATTTGGAGGTTGTTAGGGCACTATTAGTCATTTACTCTCACCACCCTGAAAATAAGAAAATAAGCATTTTTCCTGTATTTTCTACACACACTGAATTACAGGATAGGCTAATAATTAACAAAGGAAATTTTTTTTCTTTACATAAAAAGTCCAGCTAATAATTGTAAGAAAAAAAAGATAGGATTAGAAAATCACCATTTTGCAGCCTCTAAAGACATAATGGATCTAGGCAGTGACCTTCAGTGAATGTTAAAATAATTAGATTAAAGGTTGATGTGGTACTTCACAAATAAGGAATTAGGCTGTTACAACCTGAACCCACTGATCGATCTTAGCATCTCTAAAAGTGGGCCGACCAGTCTGTGCCTATTGATGTGATACAATAGAAAGTGCACAGCGTCACCTATGAAGCATTCTTGCCTAAAGTAAAGTGAACCAAATCTAATCAAGTCTCTAAATCTAACTACGGTTTTACAGGAAACGCAGGGGATGGAAGAAAGGTTAAATGACATTATGAGAAAGCAGCCAGCCACGTCCAAAATGTGTGACATTCTAAAGGATAAATAATTCTCCAACAAATTATGGTATGAGGATGAAAGGAGAGACAAGGGACTTTTTATAAAATAAAAGAGATTTAAGAGACTTCATAGCCAGATGAAATGTATAGACTTCGATTGAATCCTAATTGCCTTTGAGACACTCAGTGAAATTTTAATATACACTGGGTATTAGATGAGGAAAATAAAGGATCCCTTGGTGATTTTGTCAGGTGTGTTCATAGAAAGATGGTTATGTTTTACAAATTTTTGCTAGTTAGCAGTACATACTGAAGAATTTATGGGTTCAATCATATGATATCTGGGTTTTTTAAATACTCCAGTGTCCTTATGCTAAACAAAAAGATGTAAAGAAGGGCATGACCATTAGGCAGCAGTGTTTCAGAGATGACCAGTAGTATAGAATGGGAAGAGTACTCCTTGGTTTAAACAGCAAGGAATTCTTTGGTGACTTAAACAGGAGCATCCACAATTGGATGGATGGTTGAGGAGAAAGCCAGACCAAATGATTTGGGGATTCCTTAGAGGGAAGGAGGCAAAGAAGTGGAGACAGTGAGAACTTACTTTTAAAGGGCTGGAAAGACACTAATATAAATAGTAATAGTAACAGTCACTAGAGGAGTTTGAGAAAGGTTGGTTTGCTATGAAGAGATTCTATGGAGAGGGAGGTGAAATAATGCTTCTTTCTCTGAACTTTCAGAATTCAGCCTATAACCCCATGTTTTCTCTTTTCCTCTGCCAGAGAGACAGGCAGTATTCCAGAGTGTCTTCTCCTTCCCCTGGGTCCTGGAGTGAGTAAACTCAGCAGAGCCTCCAGCCAAGGTATGATAGATGTGTAGTGAGAGCGAGAATAAACCTTTGTTGTTTTAAGCAACTGACATTTTGGGGTTGTTTGTTATAAGCATAACTTAGCCTATCTGATTTAGGGATACTTTTATTTATTTACTTACTTATTTTTGAGATAGAGTCTCATTCTATTGCCCTGGCTAGAGTGCAGTGGCGTCATCATAGCTCACTGTAACCTCAAACTCCTGGGCTCAAGCAATCCTCTGCCTGACCGACCCCCCTCCCCACCCCCACCTCCCCAGTAGCTGGGACTTGGGACTACAGGCTAGTCTCAAACTCCTGGCCTCAAGTGATCCTCCTGCTTCAGTCCCCCCAACCCCCTAGCAGCTGGGAATGTGAGCCACCATGCCCGGTTAATTTTTTTATTTTTTCTATAGATGAGGTCTCACTGTTGCTCAGGCTGGTCTTGAACACCTGACCTCAAGTGAGCCTCCCACTGCAGCCTCCTAGAGTGCTAGGATTACCGGTGTGAGCCACTGTACCCAGCCAATACTTTTTAACACAATAAAATATAAATGATGTTTTATGAATTCTGATAGAAGCTTTCAATTAGAAAGATGTTGGCAATAGTACCTTACCAGTGTGGCCAGAGGAGAAGTTAGTGCCACCCAGTATGCATTCTCCATTGCTGTGCCCCACCGTTTTCTGTGTCTCATGTGGCAGGGACAATTGCAGGTGACTGTTGGTTTTTGCCTGCTGACTCCAAGAATGGCTGGGTTGTTCCTGCAGCACCTCTTGTGTTCTCTCTGGTAGGACCACTGTTCTGTATTTTCAGAGAAGGATTTTACTTATTTTTTCCCAGGAATGGAAGTTAAAAATAGACCCCCCTTTTTGTAGCATCATGCTCCCCAGCCCTTCCTTCCCTGTTAAAATGGGTTTTACCAGCAGAAGGTGGTCCCATCTATGGGCCCTAAAATCAGAGAAGGAAGGACTGGTGGCTAAGGTGGGATGGGATACTCCAAACTTTAGGAAGTCTGTAGAGGACTTGGTATGCACTCAGACAGCACTATTAAGGAGAGTGACATGGTTGGAAACTTTGGCCCAGTCCAGGCCTGGAAACTCTGAGAACCAAGCATGATGGAATATTTGGAGCTCCTTCCCCATCTTCAGGCAGGATCTGGGATTTGTTGCCTGCTGTGATCTTGGTGCGTTTATTCAGGCAATGCAGTTATCCACTTAGCAACTCTCCCACTTTCCCTCCGTGGAGCCCCACTGTGAAGGAATGTGATTAATTTGCCCATGACCTAAAATCCTAGCTAATGCTTCAGTGGACCAGGCTTTGTCTTAGAAATATTTTCCAATGGACAGAAAAACAGCTTTTTCTGGCTCACCACAGGGTCTGTCCCTAAGAGTGCTGACAGAACTGCTGACACACAGATTCACTTCTGTGAGGCAGCAATTAGCCAACTGTGCTGGGGGCTGATCCCCTCTACACTTTCAGCAGGTTCCTAGCGGGGATCCCTGCTGGATAGCCTAAGCTAGGTGCATTTCAGGCTTCAGACTTGCTTGGGCATGATCTGGAAGGCTGATGTGTGCCAGGGGGTTGGTCTCTTTGAATGAGGAGCCTTGTGGAAAAGAATCACATAAAGGAAAGAAAAAGTTGAAATTCATGGGTTTGTTTCAAAGAGAGTGAGAGGGCAAGTGTTGGGGGGCAGGAGAAGGCAAGACTTTGAGGGGAGTATGGTGGGTGTCTGCTACTCAGATTGCTCTCAACCGGCTCTGGGTCCTGGGAAAAGGAGCTGCAATAAACATCAGGTGAAAATGGAGAGTTGTTCTACTATTAATCTCTGTAGGACATGAAAAGG